TGTCACATCAGTGCTGTGGAGCGTTCACACAGGGGTCTGACGCAGGTCACATTTAAAATGTAATGTGAACGTTCACACAAAAAGATCGGATTTTTTCAAAAAAATCGGAACTGAGCATTAAGACCTGCAGTGTGAACGAAGCCTTAGTCGAGCACCATCTCATGCTGGATTCTCTTATTCAAATTATAATTTATGACTCAGCCCCCCGTGAGCAAAAGGTGTGAATCAGGGCCTCAACGATAACCAACTCAAAGAGCGAAAGAGAGACGAAAACAAGGGGACGTTGAACCCCTCTTGCACTCACTACATTCACAAAACAAAACACCAAATAACCACAGCCGAAGCATCCAAACCAATAAGTCAGGTGATGGGGCACATGACCCTCTATGAACAATAGAGCTAATCAAGCCTATTGTTAGGCCATGGCCCTCTTTTGCATGTGACTAACCTGTTTGTCCACCATGTGGAGGCAGTGCTTATAAGGCTGAGTTTCACCTTAAACTCATCAGACTGAAGAAGTCTCTGGGAGGAGAGRCGAAACGTTTCACTAAAGAAGAACCCATCCAGAGGACCTACTTTTTCATTTTGATTTTTTTCTACCTGGATTACTGAGATGCATCAGGACAAATAATTTATGTAGCGTTGTCGATAGTAAGTCGATAATTTAATAGTTGATGCATTTTTATTTATTTATTTTTTGTTTGTTTTTTCAAACTTCATTTTTCTTTCCAAACTGCTGCAGCACCTTCCACTGCCGTGTCTAACTTTGTCCTTGACACACATGCGCAGTAGTGGTAATTAGGGCTGCCACAAATGATTATTTTTATAGTCAACTAAACAGTGATTAGTCGACTATAAAAAATACAAAGTTAGAAAAAAAACAATTGATTTTAATAGGTGACATAATCATGACTAATCSTGGCAGCCCTACTTCGGGATACGTTTTATCACAAACCAGTCAGAAAAAGGAAACCAACACTAAAAAAAATCCATTATTTGACTTTGAAGCAAGAAAAGATCACAGAAAAAGATCGTTAATGATCTTAGCCACAGCAAAGTCAAAGATTACCGAAAGTGTACATTTAATTTTCTTGGCTTGAGAGTTGTGCAGCCAGAGACAAAAACAGGAAGTTTTAAAGTTTATAGTCGTTTTTTTAATACAATAGAAATAGCCTTTATTTTCCCGTTGAGGGGGAATTCAGGTGTCACAGCAGCATCAGTACAGAGGTTCACACACTGGTATATAAACTATAGACAATGCACACATTAAAGGTGTTACACTCAGGATGTGTGAGGATCAGTCTCAGCTGTGACATTTTCTGTCCTCTGTATGTTTTGACATGTTTGTAATGAAAATTGAAATAACAGACTGTGGTTTTCTTCAGGTGATCGCACCAACGTGGCCAGCACCGACCTGTCGGAGATCCTTCCTGAGGAGGTGGAGGCTGAGGTGAAGCTAGCCGCTGAGATCTCCATGGGCACAGAGGTGTCGGAGCAGGACATCGCCAACATCCAGCACCTGTGTGATCAGGTACGACTGCGGTCGCAGTGAGAAAAGAACAGGTTTGTCCTGATWGGCTGCGAGTCTCCGTGTCTGTGGTGATGATGACGACAGTTGTCTTCCTCCTGAACTGACTCATGTGGGTTCTCAGTCACTACCTCATCTGAACGGTCACATGACTCTGCTGGTTCAGCTCGTCGTCTCTCTGCTGCTGCGAGCCCGGCTGATGTGTCTCTCCTCTGCAGGTGATTGAGATCTCAGAGTACCGCGCTCAGCTCTACGACTACCTGAAGAACAGGATGATGGCCATCGCCCCCAACCTGACCGTGATGGTGGGCGAGCTGGTTGGCGCCCGGCTCATTTCACACGCCGGTACGTCCTGACACGTTCTCCGCCCCCGCCAGGCAGTGATGATGAGGACAACATGTCGTTCTCCTGAATATGACTGATGCTCTAAGTCACTACCTCATCTGAGCCGACCTCAGCAGCGGGGTCCAGACAGAACTGAACCCAGGGTTCCTGCAGAGGCAAACTGAACTAGAGCCTCAAAATCACACTCACTTTAGGTTCCACTAAGTGTGTTTCCATCAAGGCTTTTTGATGCACATTTAGAAGTGTCGCATTAAAAATGCGGAAAAAAAGTCTGATGGAAACAGCARAATTCAGGGAAAAAAATCCTCAATTCGCTAAAAAGTTTTAACGCTCGCTTGAGGTGGTTTTTGGGTTTTTCAAAAATCACTTAATGCACAAAAGGAGAGATGGAAACACTTTTGCCGAATAAGTTGTGACGTAGCGAACATTTACCTCACGTAGCTGATCAGTTGTTCCCCGGTACCAGTTTCGGGTCGGCTGCAGCCGCGACTGGCAGCAGGACCCTCCTCCYGCTGTCGGCGTCTTCTCAGTAATCCCGTAACGTGAAGAAAATTGCATTTCTTTCTCTACGTCTCCAGACAGCAGTAACATCTCCAAAACTAGTTGGTAACAGAATAATCACAACTTTCCTGATAGTAGCAACACATTACTGGTAACTTCTCTCCATTATCCTGAGATGTGTGGACMCTGTGAGTTTAGCGACGGTTACTTAGCGACGGTTACTTCCTGTTTACTACGCACATACGTATGACGTAATTGATTCGCTTCAAGCCAGTTGATGGAAACTCAGTCTGATTCACATTTCTTCATTTTTTCCTCTTTATGAAATTATTGAAATTAGCTCAACATTTGAATTAAAATTGTATGTAATTGGATGGAAACACAGTTAATGACTCTCAGCTGCTTCTAAATAAACATCTGTAACATTAACATCTGTGTGATGCTAATGTGGATTAGCTCATTGTTAATCAGATCCACCACCCAGTGGGTTGACATATTTTGCTAACACAAACATGACAGATGCCAGTAGCTGTTGCCATTGATTAGAACAAAGATGTAAAACACTAAATTTTAGCTTGGTATCTGTAAATGTACTGAACTGTCATTTTTGTGCGTTTATGAGATCAATTCTGTGGTGATTATCTTGAATTRTAGTAGTCGGCACGGCTAGTCAAAAGAGTTAACTTTGCTAACTCATCTGTTAACTAAAAATATAACTTTGGATCTGTAACCATGTTAAAAGAAATGGTGAAAGCTAATGCTAAACAGCTAATTCAGTTAAAACAATTGGCAGAAGCTAACATTAAAGGAGACCAATTATGGGTCCTTGAAATTTTTATGGTATATCTGTGGGCTATCCAGACCATGTTCATTCAATTTAATGCTCAAAATAATTCTCAGATAATAAAATTTCCTAGAGGAAACACCAGATATTTAATTTTGCCTTTAGTTTCTGAACAAACAYGGTGTCCTGAGACTTCTGACTCAGTCTGGCATTAAGAAATGGAAACCTTTATATCTGSTACTCTAATGTGCTGCTCTGTTTTAAGGGTCTCTTCTGAACCTGGCCAAGCACCCGGCTTCCACAGTCCAGATCTTGGGAGCAGAGAAGGCTCTGTTYAGGGCCCTGAAGACCCGCAAAGACACCCCCAAGTACGGTCTGATTTATCACGCCTCTTTGGTGGGCCAGACTACAGCCAAGAACAAGGGCAAGGTAAGACCAGGCAGCAGACGACACACCTGGCAGGTAGAGGTGAGCTGAAATGAACCTGTCCCGTAACACCTGCAGATCTCAAGAATGCTGGCGGCTAAAACCGCTCTGGCCATTCGTTACGACGCTCTGGGAGAGGACACAAACACAGAGATGGGAGCAGAGAACCGAGCCAAGCTGGAGGCCAGGCTGAGGCAGCTGGAGGACAAAGGAGTGAGTAGAATAACCTGCAGGATGCCTTTCATCAGGGTCATGAATGAAAGTCTGCCCTCTTTAGTTCTGGTGTTTTCTGTTTCAGGCCTAATGATCTGATCTTCATCAGGTTCTAAAGGTAACATTTTAAATAACAAACACCAAGAGGAAGAGTTCAGAACTCAATTGTGGAACCTAGATTCTTGGGAACGGTGGTCTCAGGTTTCATCTTCCTAAAACCTACAGTGCAGTATTAACCTGCCACCCTGACTGGGTGTCCACTGTTCAGTGTCTGTACAGCACACATGGGCCCTTAAGTCCCCAGATCTCACTGAGATGATTGAGAGCTGGTGGTTTTCTCAAGGAGAAATCCTGCTCRTGTCCTCATTCCTTATCAATATTCCTGATAGTCTCTCCTGAAGCGTGTTGGGCTTAAAACACAGGAATGTTGGCAAAGTAAACGTTAGGACTATTATGTAAATTTGTCACAGAAGCCTCATTTATACGACAGCTCAGTCCAGGACTGATGTRYGTTCTGTCTTCTGATCATTCAGAAAAAAACACGAAGACGGCAAGGTGGGAAAAGTGAGCCCACCTCTGATGTCCCTCTGAGTCACCAAGTGAAGYAGTAACAGAGCCAGGCAGRCCGACTTGTGAAAAATCAACCCGTAGTTCTGCGGCTCAGGTGATAAGCTGATATCAGTGATTTACCACTGGATTAATCAACAGATTTATTACAGAGGAAATATTAMAGATACAGAACAGCAACTGTGTRGTTAGTTTAAAAAACATTGAACCACAGTTTTGCTAAAATTAGTTGATTCAGTTTGTTTTGTTTGATACGATGCAGCAGACRTCCATCACACAATAAATACGTCACAGTCCACTTCAGCCGAGCTGAGTTGTGCTCCACACCTCTGTGGTTCCACGCTGCTGGGTTCATTTCTGAACACATACATGTGAGCGGGGCCTGGCCAGCCTCACCTGTGGTTTATGAAGGAACAGAGGGAGCTYGAAGCTGGACCGGTCTGTGTGGCCGTTTCATGAAAGAAGCTACTGAGACTTCCACAGCTTCTGCCGAGCGGGACAGGAACATGTCCTTACACAACCTGGCCAACAGTCACTTAGAGCTGCCTGTGTCTCCACGCTGTCTCCTTCAAACACTGGAGTTGAGCAACATGAATCATGATTAATCGTGGCATTTAGCAGCACGACGGCTCAGTGGTTAGCATCRACGCACCACAGCAAGAAGGTCCTGGATTCGATCCCCGGTTCGGACCTGTGGCCTCATGCATAAAGGATTGCGCAGCTTTCACACTAAAAGTTGACGTCTTTAAAGATTTTATCTCAGTAGAGACCAGACTYGATGACTGGAAGAGTCCAAAATAARCCCAAAAATTTWAAATGGTGTTTCAGTTCTGATACACAAAACCTAAGAATTATGGAGGGTGGACTTCATTTGTTCTATGACTTTCTGACTCTCAAACTAAAAAAAATAGATTTTTGATTTGATGGTCTTTTTTTCTGTCTTCAATCATTCAGATCCGTCGAATCAGTGGAACAGGAAAAGCCATGGCGAAGGCTGAGAAATATCAGCACAAGAGGTGAGGAGCTGTGCGTTTACTCTTTTTAAAGAGGCTGAATCTTCAAAAAGACATTACCATCCCTTTATTTGTTTGTTTCTCCCAGTGAAGTACGAATTTATGACCCGTCKGGAGACTCGACCATCCCGTCCACCTCAAAGAAGAGGAAGATCGAAGAGGTGGAAGAAGAAGAGGAAGCATTGCCTGTAACACCAGTGGTCAAATCCAAAAAGTCCAAAAAAGAACCAGAACTAGAAGGTGAGTAAACTAGCTGAATATTTCATTCACATCCTGAGGTTTGTTCAACTTAACATCCTGCTTTTTTCTCATTTTCCTTTAAAAAGAAGTTGAAACGACAGATACTCCCAAGAAAAAGAAGAAAAAGAAAGATAAAACAGAAGAAGTGATGCTGAAGGAGGAAGAGGAGGAAGTAGTAGTGACCGAGGTTTGCGAGGATAGTTTTTAACTAGATTGTTACAAAATATCAAAATAATAATTTTTTCCAATTGTTTCATTAAGACGACAAAAAAATATGTATTTTAACAAACATCTGTTCTGTTCTTCAGTCGACAAAAAAGAAGAAAAAGAAGAAAGTCGAACAGGAGGAGCCTAAAGAAGAGGAGGAGGAAGTAGAAGTGAGTGAGGTGAGAATTTATCAAGGAATTAAAGTTTTTAATATTTTTATTTTGGTTTTATAAGTTTGTTTTTATTTCCAGCCAACAAAAAAGAAGAAGAAGAAAAAGAAGGTGAAGGAGGAAGACGAGTGAAAACATGGGCCGGTGTACATACTTTGTTTTTAATTTTTTTAGATTTTTGAACAGTGTTTTATGTTGAAAGGCTGTATTTAATGCCTATCCTGTTTTGTTTTTTGTTTTTTTTTCAACAACTGAATCGTTGTCATTTTATGACATATGAAAGAAAACCTCTACAAACCAATAAAATCTGAGTTATTTTTTATGTTTTTCTCCCATTTCATTTTAACAGTTTGGGCATTTAATTATATCATATAAGTCTCTATAGAATAGAGTACAAAGTCTTTATTGTCCTCTGCAGGGAAATTCAGGTGTAGTAGCAGCAGCAGGTTCATACATTAATCCACAGAAACCATGTGACAAAGCTATGACACATTATCAACTGTAGCCACCGGCGCCGGAATGGGGGCACTTTATGGCCCTGGTCATCAGCTGGTCCAACGACATTTACAGGCGCCGCTGCACCCAACGCTGACGAGTTATGACTTCTCTCTCGGTTCTGTTGCGGTGCACGCTCGCTCGCAACCTGGAGTAAACTCTTGATGATAAAGTATTTAAGTGAGGCGCGGTGCGCACAGTCGAGGGTTTACGCACATCTGCCAGCTCTGAATCGGGCTGATCATAAACCTGCCTGACACCTGAAAAAACGTTTCGACTCTGATCCCATCCGTGTCGACCAAAGCAGCCTAAAAATAAAAATTTGTATTTTGTGCCACATCTGCCCCAAATGTGTGCGCAACAACCATCCGTTCTCCAGTACACTGACGGGTTGTGGAGAAAAGAGAGAGAAAAAATCCCAGCCCATAGTCCTTTACAGGTCCGGGCCAAATGCTCACCTCTATTTGACCCAGAGCAGATAACTTTCCTGCGGGGTAAACAAATAATTGCGTGGAGTTTGTCATTATTTTTGCTGTCCAAACGCAGAGCGTTTGCGCTGAGAGATGACCGGGCGCTATGGAGAAAATACTGCCAGACGAGGAAATGTCATTTTCCCCCTCAAAATAAAGTTTTTTAACTAAATTACCTAAACAGTTTGATTTACTTACCATCTCTTGCGTGAGTAAAAAGACTGCGTTCCAGCACAAGTTTCTGACCCGCTCTTCCAAACTGTGGAAATTATTTACGTTTAGTTTTTTTCATGGTCACTTGATCACCCTTCCTAATAAATGATTTAAATAAAACATTCACAGGTAAAAACTCCATTATTTAATTGTTGCTTGATGATGAGTCAAGCTCAAATGGCTGCTGATGAAATGAAAAATATTTAAAAAATAAAAACACCTTATTCATGACTGCAGGTTTTTTTTTTCATGTTAGACTTTTTTTTTTGCAGCTTTTCCATATCTGATGACTGCAATGTATCCACTGAGATTACCCTGTGGTGAAACTGAACTTGTGCGCCTGACGTCCTAGGTGCGTGCGGTGGAACCCGACCCCCCACCTGAAAAATGAATCCGGCGCTGCTGACTGTAGCAATAATAGAATTAAAGATGGTAACAAAAATAAACAGAATAAAATAATAATGAATAATTACTGTACTGGACTATCAAGATGAATTTAGATTAAAATGAAAATAAAAGCAAGACTGCAGAAAAACTTGACAGGAAAAATCAGCCATGACAGACTCATGATCTGAGGGGGTGTGCAGAATGATTCAAACTCCRTCATTAAGACCAGTACAGGAAAAATGATGTACAATTGCCACAGATTATTATTTATATAATGAGTGAGAGGTAGAGTTGTTTGATGTGCAAACACAAACCTGGACGCTTATCATGACTGATGTGAGCGGTGATGGTTATAGAGTCTAACAGCTGATGGGAGGAAGGATCTGCGCTAACGCTCCTTTGTGCATTTAGGATGCAGCGGTCTGTCACCGAAGGAGCTCTGCAGATCAGCTACAGTTTTATGCATCGGGTGTGAGGTGTTCTCTGTTACAGATGTTATTTTTGCCAGAGTTCTTCTGTCTCCCACCACCTGCACAGTTAGGTTTAGAGGTATGATGTGAATTAAGTTCTGGTTCAGATTATGGTTAACTATAGACTAGTAATGGTTAGTTTTACTAGTTAGGTTTAGAGGTATGGTGTGAGTTAAGTTCARGTTAGWGTTAACTAYAGACCAGTAATGGTTAATTTTACTAGTTAGGTTTAGAGGTATGGTGTGAGTTAAGTTCTGGTTCGGATTAGGGTTAACTATAGACCAGTAATGGTTAGTTTTACTAGCCAGGTTACCTAACCCTAATCAATACTTAGAAAAAAAAACATCTTACCTCGTTTATGATGCATGGTTACAGATTGCTAACTTGTTTCTAAATTTAGGTAGTTTAAAAACAAAATTATTTTGTATTAACTCATATTCTGCTGCAAAATATCACTTACTTTCTTTTTAAAAGTTAGGATATCTTATGATGAGGTTATGAGGAAAATTTGATAGGTGATTAAACTTTTTTTGGGGTTTCCCAAACGCTGCTAGTTGTTTAGATCATTAGTCGTTCAAAACAGCCTAAAATTCCTCCTCCCTCCCCCACCTCCATCTTGTCCCTTTCAGCTCTGCAGGTGAGAAATGAGCTGCGAAGGATCAAGGTGTGTAACGGTACATTCATGGCTGGAGTCCTCAAAACAGAGGGGGGTGGCTGAGAGTTGCGAGGGTGAGTGGGGTGGGGTGTGATGGAGGCCTCAGAGCGGAGTGGGGTGGAGGATGTGGGTGATGGTGGAGAGCTGCGATGTGTGAAGCTCTGATCCAAGAAGAAAAAAATTGTATAGGTCTTCTGGACGGGTTTTTCTCTAATGAAACGTTTCGTCTCTCCTCCAAGAGACTTCTTCAGTCTGAGAGTTTCAGGCAAAATTCAGGCTTTGACATCAGCAGAATGTTGCCCGTGGATTATCTCTGGGATTGATGGACAGAAGAAAGGA